CCTACCAGGATCAAAATAGAGTGAGGCGGCAGCTACAACGTCGGCTCACGAAGAATCTCAACGAGAACCGTGAGAACTGGTGGGCAACAATAGCTAGTGAAATAGAAGTAGCAGCTGCGTCAGGGACTAGTCAAAGACTGTTCCGACTGATAAGCAATACGAGAGGTCGATGAACCCCAGTTAGTGAAACAGTCTGCGATAAGAGGGGACGAGCTATTCACAATAGGGATCAACGACTCGATCGCTGGGCAGAATACTTAAGCGAACAATTCAGCTAGCCCAGTGCTAACCAGGCTGCTTCATCTCCGACTGAAGCTCTGTGGGCAGTGTCATGCGATCCTCCGACAGAAGCAGAAGTTCGGTCTTGCATTCATTCTCTGAAGCGAGGAAAGGCAGCAGGACCTGATGAGCTCTTTTCAAGATGGGAGGTGATAACCTCGTAACCTCTATTACTACCCTACTGCGCAACATTTAGATGCAAGAGCACATTCCATCATCTTGGGGCGAATCACTGATCATTCCCTTTTCAAGAAAGTATCCCGCAACGATTGCGAAAACCACCGTGGAATAAGTTTGATCCCGATAGTCACCAAAGTGCTTCGGTTATACTTCGACGTCTAACGCCTTTAAGAAAGACCAACATCCGTGAACAGCAAGCCGGATTCCGGCCTGGCCGTGGATGTATTGATCAGATGTTTACGTTGTGTCAAATCCTCAAGCTGCGTCATACTCACCGTCGGCCAACGATTGCAGTGTTCCTTGACCTGAAAGGAGCTTTCGACTCAGCTGACCGCGAAGCTCTGATGGGCTGCCTTCTTTGAAAAGGAATGCCCTAGAAGTACGTTAACTTACTGAGGTTACTGTACTCACTCCGGTCGTGTAAAGGTTTACAACAAACTAAGTAGGCTGTTCGTCACCAGCAGCGGCGTTCGTCAAGGGTGCCCTTTTTCACTATTCCTGTTCAATTTCGTCTTAGACGAAATACTGGAGAGCGCATTAAGGGGACTCCAAAACATAGGTATTGAATGGACAGCTGGAGAAAAGCTGTGCGATTTGAAGTACGCCGATGACATCGTCTGTCTGTTTGAATGCATGGAGGACGCGCAAAGTGCACTTGATAGTTTAACAAGTGCAGTAGCCACATTCGGGATAAGCTTTGCACCTTCAAAGTGCAACTTGATGCTGCAGGACTGGGTTTCGTCTACTCCCGGTCTGAAACTAAATGGACTACTTCACCTACTTCGGTAGTTATGTTGGATTACGTTTCCTACTTAGGTAGTTGCGCGACCAATGACGGTCGCGCAGCAAAAGAGATAACCGCCCGCATTTCCAAGGCTCGAGCAGCATACGCAGGCCTGAAACACCTTTGGCGTAGACCCAATGTTTCACTGAAGTTGAAAGGTCGTGTATATTGCGCTA